TTTTTTCTCGATGTACCGAACGACGACAGTGTTAAGGACGAATCACTCTATCTATACGAGACATCGGATATAACGTCCCTATTCTGACCGGACGTGGCTGTGTATTTGTCCATCTCGTACAGCTAAAAACGAACGACCACTTTAGAAAGGGTTAAACTGCCGGAATGAAAGAAGTATAATGGATGAAAAAATTTCTAAAACCTAGTCAACCCTTGGAGTAAATGCACATGTATATGTTATGGATGCAATGTTGGTCCATTTCATAGGTTGTTTTTTTCTTTCTTCTTCATTTGAGCTTTGTGATTTTGAAATTATGACACAAGACGCTGTATTTTTACATGAAAACAAATATGTAGGACTTACTTTTGGTAAATTATTACATAGTAATTATGAAGTATTACATAGTAATTATGAAGCTATAAAACCAGGTTCAATCCACCATTTTCTACATTTGAAAATGCCTGTACCAAGTCAGGAATATGACAGTTGTTGTCCATTCGTTTGATGTGTTTTGTCATTTGATTTTGCCATGTGATTAGGGACTTTCCGATTGAATTTTCCTCGGAGTTCAGTATTTTTGTGATTTTACTTTTTACATAGGAATTATGAAGTATTACATAGAAATTATGAAGTATTACATAGGAATTATGAAGTATTACATAGTAATTATGAAGTATTACATAGTAATTATGAAGTATTACATGGACCGTTGATAAAAGAGGGACGAAAGATACCAGAGGGACAGTCAAACTCATAGATCGAAAACAAACTGACAACGCCATGGCCAAAAATAAAAAGACAAACAGACAAATAATAGTACAGATGACACAACATAGAAAACTAAAGACTAAGCAACACGAACTCCACCAAAAAATGGGGGTGATCTCATGTGATCCGGAAGGGTAAGCAGATCCTGCTCCACATGTGGCACCCGTCGTGTTGCTTATGTTATTACAAATCCGGTAAATAGTCTAATTCGGTAGGTCACATTCGTGAAAAGGGAAGGGTATTGTAGTTACGACATAAGGAACATATCCGATATCATCTGTGAAACGGTTATTCCATAACGGTCATCCAACTCGTGATGGCGTCCGTAAAATTTACGAAGGGATGATTTCAACTTCACCATTTCGAACTCTTGGTTTAATAGCTTCCTTGTGAGCAGCAATCCTCTATCAAGGAAATCATGATAGGAAATACAAGCCCGGGAATATCGTATCAATTGGGAGATATATACTCCGTATGCAGGCGCTGCTGGAATGTTGCTACATAGAAATGGAAAGTTCACAATTGGGAAGCTGAAATCATCTCTTTTGTCGTAAAGTTTTGTTTTCAACCGACCCTCATTGTCAATTTCTAGATGTAAGTCAAGATATGAGGCAGACTTAACTTTATCTGTAGTATCCTTTATCTCTAGTTCGATGGGATAGATTCTTTCAACATAGTCACCAAATTTTGTATTATTTAGTGAGAGAACATCATCTATATAGCGGAACGTAAAGTTAAAGGATATTGCTAACTTCTTATCTTTCTTCCTAAGAAGTTCCTGTATGAAGTCAGCCTCATAATAATAAAGAATCAAGTCGGCAAGAAGAGGGGCACAATTGGTTCCCATTGGAATTTCGACAGTCTGTTGAAAAACATGTCCTCCAAAAGTAACAAATATGTTGTCAATCAAGAAATCAAGCATCTTGATAATGTCAGTTTCAGAGAAATTTTTTGTTTGAATCAGAGTGATTCTTTACAAAGTAGGATTTAACCCTCCCCAAGACAAGATACTTGTATCTACGTTCGCCATTCTTTTTAATGAAACAAAGTAATACCAACTCTTTCAATTTGTCTTTTAGTTTGGAATGGGGAATACTTGTGTAAAATGTAGAAAAGTCAAATGTTTTAATGCTATTGCAAGATGAGAGAGTCTTAGATTGTATGTACTCTAAAAGATCTTTGGAATTTTTTAGTATCCACATCTGATTCACGCCACCTCTAGAATAGGCAGTTTCACAATAACTTTGGAGCCCAGCTTTGATTGCTGATAAAATAGATGTTAATAATTTAGAGAGAGGTTTCGTGGAGCACTTGGAAGACCCAGCAATATACCGTTGTTTGTAAGGACACTTATGTAGTTTAGGTATCCAATACAGTGATGGAAGATCCAGTTCTTCATCTTTGGTTGAAATTCCAAAGGAACATAGAACAGGCCTATGATTATCCAGGATTTCCTCTTTGGTAAGTGTCGTGAGGGTATATGTTGAGTTTCCAAGTGAATTGTCAATACCTAATTCATTTATCAAGCAGTTTATGTAATGATATTTACACACAAAAACGATGTTGTTTGGGGCTTTATCTGCGGGGACAACAACATATTTGTCATGGAGGTAGGACAAGTGTTTTGCAACATTTGGGTCTTTAAAAATTGACGTAGCATGGGTATTGATAGACCCATTTAGTTTCTTAATTCGGATTTGTATCAACGATCTCGATAAATGATGTATAGACAATTTCATCTACATTTGTTCCGCTCCAAGAGTTTGATGAAACCTAGTGGCATTCTTATATTTTTTTTTTTGTCATATACAAATCAATACTTCTGATGATTGTAATTTGTTAATCATTTTTAAATTAGAATGCACATTTTTTTTGTTTTTGCTCTTATCCAGTGGAAAGTGCATCAAACCACCATAACCATCTAACGCTTGTGTCAAATTACTCAATATTTTACAGTGTTGTTTAGATTGATTAAAACAAGCTCCTATTCGATTTTGTAAGTTTTCCAATTTTCCGTTTTAGAGTTTTGGCAATTCTTACCGTCAGAATTTTAGGCAATTTTCCACATGCCGCACAGTAGCTATAGTATGCTGCTATCAATTTACTCCAAATTTTACGCTGTTTTTTATATGTGAAAATAAGCTACCGCTCAATTTTGAAAATTTTGTGATTTGTTTTATCAAGTTGAGTTATGAGGTATTAACCATCAAATCTAAGGCAATGTTTTATGTCCAAGAAATTCTCCAACAAGTTTTTCTGCATTGTCATTTTACTGACTTCTGATTTGATGACTTATACAACCTTTCCATTAGCTAGTTGCAACAATTTCAATATGGATACGACGGACGTTTCTAGGGCTAAGGACGTAGTTGTTTATTTTTTTCTCTTTCACAATTAGATTCATATATCTATTATTCTTGAACATCTTTTAACGTTTTCTACGTTTTTCCGACGTGACTGTTTCTAAATCGGGAATATTTATGTAAATGAATCACCATTTATCCATAAATTACAACAAACACAATGATATGACATTGATCTTTAGTAAGACTTTACACGAACAGACTTATAAAATCTGTACCCTGCTGTTTCACAAAAGTTTGAGCGTATTTATGAATAATCAAAACCATGTGTTACAATACAATGGTGTTTTTTCTCAGACAGATTTTTCACATTTATTGTCCAGTTTAACTATCTCGTACAATTTTCCAACTATTTACTCAGAAATTCGATATCCAAATGATTCCCCAAAAATTCCATTTTCATGATAACCAAAACAAAGATGTTTTATTAAATTCATTTATTGTACGTTTCGAAATGAAAAATTTAGAAGTGAAAATTTGTGATGTTTGTACTGAGCTGAAATCCAAAATGACTGCCACTGTAATAAAGCTTTGTAAAGGAAATTGTATGAAATACATCAAATAATCAAACATGTTTTTGGAAATTTGCCCCCTCCTCCTGTGGATCAAAATAAACTTGTCTTTTGTTTTTGTTTTACATAAGACACTTTGATGTGAATGGAATGTGTACAGATTTTTGTACACATACATAAATTACTTATTGATCAGATCTATATAGTATAATTTTCCAATCTATTTCAAAATTTCTTAAATTGGTAAAACCATCATTAATTCTGTGATATTACACTTAAGTCAAGCGGTCAATCGAACACCAAAGGGTACTTAGTCTACATATCCAAGGGGCCGAAGTCTACAGAATCTTTAAAAAACGTGGCAGAATATACCATAGGGTACTTAGTCTACATATCCAAGGGGCCGAAGTCTACAGAATCTTTAAAAAACGTGGCAGAATACACCAAAGGGTACTTAGTCTACATATCCAAGGGGCAGAAGTCTACAGAATCTTTAAAAGACGTGGCAGAATACACCAAAGGGTACTTAGTCTACATATCCAAGGGGCCGAAGTCTACAGAATCTTTAAAAAAACGTGGCAGAATACACAAAAGGGTACTTAGTCTACATATCCAAGGGGCCGAAGTCTACAGAATCTTTAAAAAACGTGGCAGAATATACCATTAGGTACTTAGTCTACATATCCAAGGGGCCGAAGTCTACAGAATCTTTAAAAAACGTGGCAGAATATACCATAGGGTACTTAGTCTACATATCCAAGGGGCCGAAGTCTACAGAATCTTTAAAAAACGTGGCAGAATACACCAAAGGGTACTTAGTCTACATATCCAAGGGGTCGAAGTCTACAGAATCTTTAAAAAACGTGGCAGAAAACACCAAAGGGTACTTAGTCTACATATCCAAGGGGCCGAAGTCTACATATCCAAGGGGCCGAAGTCTACATATCCAAAGGGCCGAAGTCTACATATACAAGGGGCCGAAGTCTACATATCCAAAGGGCCGAATTCTACAGAATCTTTAAAAAAACGTGGCCGCAGAATATACCAAAGGGAGAATAAAAAAAGTCAAGTAGAGGAGAGGCAGACAAAATCATGACAAAAAAGAAAAAAGGAAGAAAAGACAAATAACAGTTAACAAAACACCACATACAAAACTACAGACTAAGCAACACGAACCCCACCAAAAAAATCAATGAAAGAAATATCTGAACAGAACAGAGTCTATCATCAAGATTGGCGATTCTACTCGTTAACAGATCTTTTGAGTATAATTCTGACTGAAATATCCCCTCAATTCAATAAAACATTCATTTTCTATATATATTTAAGTGAATGAACATGAAAATATTAGTAATACCTGTGATCGGAAAGTGATTCTTCAGTTATGGGTTTGACTCTCTGTTTTATAATCTTCTTGATAGGTCCTAAACGTTTATTATCTTTTTGAACAAAACTAATGTCAACTCTTTTTACTCCAAGCAATGGACTGTCACTTATTCCTGATAATACAGCAGGAGTTAAGAAAATATGGTCCCTAGTACTCATCGTGCTCGTACGAGATGTTTGTGAATAATGTTTATCCATCTTTAAATACAAATCTGTTCAATTTATGAATTTTTAAATTGTTGTCTTCATTTTTACAAACTCCAAAAAAATACACAACTCTCCTTTTCTATTTCAATTAAGTATCCCCTTCGAAGTGGTTAAACATTTTCTCCTATACAAAAATTGTCAAGTATATCACAGAAGTTGCTTCATTAGATTCCAGTCAATGAAATGCTATCCACCTAAAGTACATTTCAATATATGCTGATTATTAACTGAGAAATATAATTGAAGTCGACCAGAAAATCATTAATTCTATAGAAAACAAGTTGTTATCTATAGGCGCAACACTGTATACTCCTTAATTTACATTTACTCAAAACACTTTATGTTATGTACTTAATTTCACAAAAAATAAAGATACAACTTAAGAACTGCCACGGAACTTGCGTGTAGTCTTCGTGACTGAATTTTTATGTTTCTAACTTTAATTAATAACATTAAGCCATTATTAGTGGTATGTAGTAATGAGATATGTTAAGCTAATTCCTCAACGTTATAGATAAGCTGCTTACTTTTTCGAAACCTTCAATAGACTTCCCACAATTTACGAGGGTGTATATGGGTATTTATTTATTATCGACTACAATATCATGTTTGTGTTTGGTCCAAATTAAACAGGATTTCTTCTAACTTATCGTTTAATGTACACAAGATTAGTGAACAGTTTACTATAACTCAAGTTTAATTTTTGATAGTCTAATTTCCCCCCAAACGTTTTAAGACCAAGATAGTAACTTGCTGTTTTAACCGTATGTTGACCTCTAGATGTCTTTTGGCTTTTGTGTCGTTGGGTTGCTGACACATTGACTATCCAACATCTCCCGGTTTAACTTGGCGCCGATTCGATATCACCAATTAGTGAAAGTTTTGTTGAAATTTGTTCTCTTTTTTATTATGATTAAGGGTACAGAACACATAAGGGAGTTAACTCTTTAAAAATCAGATTAACGTTTAATCACATATTATTAGGACAGAGAAACCAAGCTTGTCAATGATCAAAATTATTCCTGTAAATTGTGTGGTTCAAATTTTTTTAGAAATTTTTATATTTTTATCAAAGTAAACATTTTGTCAAAATTTGATGAAAATTTAACGTACCAAATCTATTTTAGTCAAAGTGCTGGGTACCCCTTAAACTTTCTGCTTATGCTTAGCCGATTTACCTGCTTTTCCAGACTTGTTGGTATTTTTTTTATATTCAACTTGTGGTTCGATTGATCTCAGTTCTTCAATGGACAAAATTTTCTTGCTTTCTTCTGAATTTGCAATTACGACGTCATTTAAAGATGGAAACCATGCACGATGACGTCACATACACTCTTTTTTGCAGATCATAAATTTTACCTTCATATCGTCTAAAAATCATTAGGAGGATGTTCATATAGATTCCGACACCGGAATTCGTGAAATATGACATTCTCTACTCTCTATACTGTTTAATCTTGAATATTTAAACCGGCGCTCGACAAGCCTCGTGTTTTGAATTTGAAAATTTAACTGTATCCAATGGAGCAATATCGTATAGCACTCGATAAGGATATAATCTGTATGTATTTTTCTCTACGTACCAAATCTATTTTAGTCAAAGTGCTGGGTACCCCTTAAACTTTCTGCTTATGCTTAGCCGATTTACCTGCTTTTCCAGACTTGTTGGTATTTTTTTTATATTCAACTTGTGGTTCGATTGATCTCAGTTCTTCAATGGACAAAATTTTCTTGCTTTCTTCTGAATTTGCAATTACGACGTCATTTAAAAATGGAAACCATGCACGATGACGTCACATACACTCTTTTTTGCAGATCATAAATTTTACCTTCATATCGTCTAAAAATCATTAGGAGGATGTTCATATAGATTCCGACACCGGAATTCGTGAAATATGACATTCTCTACTCTCTATACTGTTTAATCTTGAATATTTAAACCGGCGCTCGACAAGCCTCGTGTTTTGAATTTGAAAATTTAACTGTATCCAATGGAGCAATATCGTATAGCACTCGATAAGGATATAATCTGTATGTATTTTTCTCTATGAAATCTACAGAACGTATGTGAAAGTGTAATTGTAGCTGTAAAAAAAAAACCATATACATGCTAGTAATGTCAGATTTAGCGCAACTTAATTCTTGGCTGCCGATAAGGCCATCTTTATACTACAAACTGGAAGACTTGATATGATCACCATATCCCTTCAATACCCTCATATTTTAAGAGTTTTAATGGAACAGTTATTGTTCTTCTAAAATAAATTCGCAATCGATATAGTCTTAACTTAATGCAATTAAATTGGAATGAAGGATTTAATCAAACAAACTCCATTAAATATTTGTTTATTTGTTTTATATTGTTTAAAAAGCAGTATTTTACACACTTCAAAAGCTGAATATTGAATGTTAATGTTTATACAAATATGACACAAGGATACTGAAAACTGTGTAACATTAGTGACATTATCGGATCACAGTAATTAAACTGTTGATTGCGTGACTTCATCAATAGGTTCTGTGGACTTTATCAAACAGGAAACACCACTTAGTATCCAAGTCGGTCTGACACGAAACAAGTACACAGACAATAATGGATCTTAATAGTATTCACTATTTTGAATGCTTGGAAACCGTTTTATAGTACTTTAATTTCAATAATTATGTCCAATACCACCAGAATTCGATAAAAAAAAAAACTATTGATGTTATAATTTACAACTACAGCAATGGTAGAATCGTTATTGTTGTAGACCCAGCAATGGTAGAGTCGTTATTGTTGTAGACTCAACAATGGTAGAATCGTTATTGTTGTAGACCCAGCAATGGTAGAGTCGTTATTGTTGTAGACCCAGCAATGGTAGAGTCGTTATTGTTGTAGACCCAGCAATGGTAGAGTCGTTATTGTTGTAGACCCAGTAATGGTAGAGTCGTTATTGTTGTAGACCCAGTAATGGTAGAGTCGTTATTGTTGTAGACCCAGTAATGGTAGAGTCGGTATTGTTGTAGACCCAGCAATGGTAGAGTCTTCAAGTTATTGTTGCAGACCCAGCAATGGTAGAGTCGTTATTGTTGTAGACCCAACAATGGTAGAGTCGTTATTGTTGTAGACCCAGCAATGGTAGAGTCGTTATTGTTGCAGACCCAACAATGGCAGAGTCGTTTTTGTTGCAGACCCAGCAATGGTAGAGTCGTTATTGTTGCAGACCCAACAATGATAGAGTCGTTATTGTTGTAGACCCAGCAATGGTAGAGTCGTTATTGTTGTAGACCCAACAATGGTAGAGTCGTTATTGTTGTAGACCCAGCAATGGTAGAGTCGTTATTGTTGCAGACCCAGCAATGGTAGAGTCGTTATTGTTGTAGACCCAGCAATGGTAGAGTCGTTATTGTTGTAGACCCAACAATGGTAGAGTCGTTATTGTTGCAGACCCAGCAATGGTAGAGTCGTTATTGTTGTAGACCCAACAATGGTAGAGTCGTTATTGTTGTAGGCCCAGCAATGGTAGACCCAACAATGGTAGAGTCGTTATTGTTGTAGGCCCAGCAATGGTAGACCCAACAATGGTATAGTCGTTATTGTTGTAGACCCAGCAATGGTAGAGTCGTTATTGTTGTAGACCCAACAATGGTAGAGTCGTTATTGTTGTAGGCCCAGCAATGGTAGACCCAGCAATGGTAGAGTCGTTATTGTTGTAGACCCAACAATGTTAAATAAGTCCTTTTGCCAATCTAAATTAAACAAATTTATATAACAATAACAAAAATATTCCTCAGTATAAATTTCAGATATTATTTTTATGAAAAGTTCTATGTTAATATCATAAAGGAGTCATTATTTGTATCAAACGTTCCATATTGATATCATAAAGGAGTCATTATTTGTATCAAACGTTCCATATTAATATCATAAAGGAGTCATTATTTGTATCAAATGTTACATATTAATTTCACATCTCCACCATGTCAAACTACATTTTAGATGGAGATTAAACATTATGCATAATACTTTGCAGGAGTTGTTTTGTTTCAAAACAGTTAACATTCCTATAATTACCAACTGTGGCCCCTATATTTCCCGTAAAATTCAAAATTCATAATTAGTATTTCTTTTATCTTAAAATAATAGCGACTTGGTTGATCGGATAGGTACCAATGAACTTAAATACAACATACTATAGGCACAACAAAGATCGATTCTTACTTTACGCAACACCTAAAGAAAAACGAAACTTTTTAACAAATAGAAGAAAATGTGTTAATGGAACACAGATGCCCCAGCTTGTAAATATGCATGTTTAACCCCACCACGTTCTTTGTTTGCCCTTCCCAAGTCAGGAGCCTGTAGCACAGTGGTTGTCGTTGGTTCATGTCTGTCATAATAGTTTTTCGTAAATTGTTTTGTTATAAATTAGGCCATTAGTTTTCTCAGTTGAATTGTTTCATATTTTTCATGTTGGGCCTTTTATAGCCGACTATACGGTATTGGTTTTTCTCATTGTTGAAGGCCGTGTGGTTGCCTATAATTGCTTACATCCACTTCATTTGAACTTTGGTGGATAGTTGTCTCATTGGCAATCATACTACATCTCCTTTTTTTAAATAACAGTCAATGTTGTAATTCAAAGCTATCGACGTTTTGTTTTCCTTGAAATATTAATTACATTTGTTTCTGCATGTATGTTTCTATTAGAGATAGCTCGGGGATTAAAGTGTGCAGTGTTCTCTCATTGTTCAATCACAAACAGTAATAGAATAACTCGAGAACGGTGAGGTGACGCCACCCAAATTCGAACTTGATCTGTGTTTGGTGGTAATAAGCATTATGTATATAAGTTTCACAATATTTTGTTGAGGAAAAGTGAAGTTAGGGTTTGGAAACGGTATTGACCGACGGCTGATATTACATCTGTTATGAAAAATGTCATGTTATAATCTTTTTATCATATATTCCACGAAGAAAAAAAAAACATTGTATATACAATGTTTTAATTAGTTAATTAAAAAATATCAATAGCAACTACGCATGTTGTATTGCAGGTCAACAATATAGGCAGTTGGAAATATTTAATCACATTTAAGATATATTCAGTATAGAATAATCAGACGTCCTTATATTTTCTAGGGATTTCATACTGATAGTTTTGAGTGACAAAAAATATATTTAAACATTTTTTACAGACCTTAATTTTTTGATTAGTTGGGGAACTTTGTGTTCCGGAACTTGCCGAGTGGCATTCATATTAGCCCGCTTAGCACCATTTCGAAAAATATGGAATTCATGTAAATTAAAAACAGTTTTCATACTGTAAAATTAAAAGTTATTTAC